TTGTGTGTGTATTGTTGTGCTCTTTCTTTAAAAATATATATTTTTACAATTAAATGCAACAATTATTCAATTCTTTTTACTATTAAGCATGAAGAAGAAAGACCAAGTATAAAAATTTAATCAGGATAAAATTAAGGGGGGGAGGGATTTAACTTTATATTTTTAGCAAAATTTTCACATATATATTACTGTACAGTGTGGTAACTACATGATAAGGCCAAAGTTTTTATTTTTTTTGGTTTACGATTTTCTGTCTCAAAAAAATGCATTGGGTGGTATAAAAATAAAAATAATTTAGGATTCAACAATTTCATTTTAAAATAACAGCAATGTTTATTTTAATAAAAATAATACACGTCAATAGTACTTTTAAGTTTTATTGTCTAGATCACATAACTCTTTTTATTTAATTTTAATTCATTTCTAACTTTAGACTGAATGTCATTTTCATTTACATATATAGTTCTGATTTTTGTTTGTCAATCAGTGCTTGGTTCATGATGTTCAACATTTTGTGCTCTTCAGTGATATGTGATGTGTTATAAACTTGGTATCCCCACAAACTAAAAATAAGGATCCAAATGCAAGTTAAATTTAGATTGAAGAAAAATACAATTTAAGTGTTTAACAATATTAAAATTAATTGACGTTGAAATAAAGGTTATAATAATTTGATCATGCAGCTATCAAATTTAATGTTCAACCTGCGGCAAAAAAGCCTAATAATTTCTCAATCAAGTCCTTCTTTAAATGTTTGTTATGTACCTGCACAGTAGGCAATGCTCATTATTTATTAGTAATTCATAGGGATGCGCAATTTTATCGGTATACCGGTATATCGCGATTTTTTATTGCGTGATACATATCGTGATGCGGAGACTAAAATACCGGTATTTGTTACATAACTATAAATTCCGGAAATTATTCATTTATTTGTTCAAACTATTGAGTGAAAATAAGAGGAAGTGTAAAAAATGTTGAAAACAGTTAAACAACGGCATCAAAACATGCTTTATATTAAATAAATGAAAATTTAAAAAGTAAAGTTATGTTTTTATAGCATATTTTTAAGAAATATTATGGAAATTCATTTGAAATTGTAGTAAAAAAATGCGTTAAAAATATCACGATTTATTGTGATATTTTTGGGAAAAAATCGTGATATATCAAGATACGAAATTTTTGCCGATACCCATCCCTGAAATTCAAAGGGCTTTAATCTCAATTGAGTATGAAATTTGCAAAGATTTGTACATTTAATTTACTTCTATAAACTAACAGATGTTTTATACACATTTGAATTTATCCAGTGAAATACCAGTCAACGTTGCTTCAACTAAGATGTATCACTCAACACTACATTGGCCTAACTATTATCCATGGATTTATCAGCCTATTTTGGGAAACACCATTTTTGGGGAATTGGGAAAAAATTATCGGCTATTTGATGAAATTGCAAAATTTTTAAAAAATGTTGCTTAAATCATTACTCAGGGGTAATTCAATTTCAGCACGAACTCTAATTTGGGCAACCAAATGACAATTAAATATGATCCATCTTATTCGTACAAAATCAATTATGAATAATAGACTAATAAAAGTAAAATGGACTTCAATGAGTATAAAGCATTTATACAACTTAGGGTAGTACATGTACATGTGTGTATGAGATTTCAATTTAGATCATTATAGTATCTGTTTCTGGAGATTATAAACCTCCTGCAAAAAATTATACTAAGTACACATTTTCTAAAAGTCCTCTTTTAATATGTATTAATGCATTGAAAATATATTTTTCTATCTGAAATAATGCCTAAAGTCCTTACCATTAACTCGCAGATCAAATGAGTAGGTGGAAATAACTTAATAAATCTATATAATTACACAATATCATCATATTTCGAAAAACAGAGGAAATTCGGATTAAAAGTTGGCGATGTTTTTACAGTGTTTTTAAACATATGTTATGACTGTAGCTTTGCTAAATGAGTTGAAATTACAGACAATCTGACAATTTTACTCAGTGTTTTTCCAAGATACTTAAAAATAAAAGCATTGTTCACCAATTGAGAAAAAATACTGCCAAATTGGGAAAAACTGAACTCATTTTCAATTGGGAATGGGCCGAACTTCGGCCCCTGAGAAGGCACTGATAAATCCTTATTATCTATAGGTGTATCCGTGTCTGCTAGGTCGATCAGGGTTGGGCATACACTCTCCAATATTACGGTATGAATTTAGCCAATTGAGACATTGCAATTGGAGAAAGGGATCATTTATCCAAGATTTTATTCACTTTTCCATGCAGAAAAAGTTCTTTAAGTGTGTGTCATTGCTTTTAGTGAGGAATTACCTTGTAACATGACAGAGCCGCCATTTTTGGTTAGCACATGTATTTATTTACGGTCACCTAAATGTTTGTAAAGGTCTCATATATTTATAAGCGCTTATTTGACTAAGATGCATTCTAAAATTTAAAACCCACTAGTTCAGCTGAGAAAAATCCGGAAAAATATGTCGGAAAAAGACATTATTTTTATTTTCATGATTTGTGAAAATTAGGGTCGGCGGAATCATAAACCAAACGAAAAAAAAACTTTGGCCTAAATAAGTTTAACATTTGTGCTAAATTTTAAAACCACTTGATCCCGCTGACAGTGAAGGAGCACTTGGAAAATGCTAAAACTTGACCTGCTTAAAAACAATCAGCTACCTCGGACCTGCTGTAAACAAGTTCCGGTAATGAGTTATCGTTCTTTACATCAAACCCTAGCGGCAGTTGAAAGGCCAACATTTGATATGATTTGTGTTTTTGAAAAGGACTATATTCGGCAATGACCAAAATCAAACTTTGATGGAGAAATCTGCAGGCCTGTTTACTCTTACGATTTCACCGTATTTTGTACGGATTTTGAGTCCAAAATACATCTCATGTTTTGCTTTAATGAAAATACGGAAATCAGAAATCTGTTCGTTTGGATTTTAGCAGGTAGTTTTCGTAATGACCTATCTCAATTTGACGCTTTTTAATCACTAAAAAAGAGAAAGATTTCAAACGCTTAAGTGATGTCGGGTTGCCAGAACGCGCTGATTTAAAAAATTATAGAAACCCCTCGAAAGAAAGCAAGGAATGATGTTTTTCTTTGTTATTAAACCGTTTTGGTTATCAGAAATGTAGTTTTTCTCTAGTAATAACTGTAAAATTGATGGAAACTGAAATGTTATGGGCAAATGCCAAATCTCACTGACAAATCATATAAAAAATACTGAGAGACATTACACTATAGGTAAACAGGTCTGAATCTGTATGTTCTAAACCAAAGGGGTGTCTGTCATCAGCCATATGACATCATATGTTAGATATTATGTCAAGAAGATGACATAAACTCAAATTTCCAATAATTTTGAGAGAAAAAAAATGTATTTTATGTTAACTTAATATTGCAGAGTTGGTGAAATGTCCTAAAAATCCACCGGGCAGGATGTCCTATAAATTGTCAAAATTTACTGGACATCCTGAAAATCTTCCAGACAAGTCAATAAAATGACATTCTGAATTCATAAATCTGTGTTCAATTCATTTTTTAGAAACATTGACCCTCAGTACGCAGCATCATTCAAAGATCTGTTGTTTCTCGTATAACATTCAGGTTTTGGTACAATGTAAGTTGGCTTTATTTAGATAAAATCAGATGTCCTGATCTTTTCTTCATCAACTATGTTTTTTTTTTTCTACTTTTGTGGTTATTAAAAATGATCCTGATTTAATTTTTCAAATAATTTACAAGTTTATCTATCTTTGATATTGGGCTTATTCTTGCATAATCAATGCAATCAAATGATGCTTTCTCATGTTATCTCCTATCCCCTAACAGCCTGAGGCATGTTACCTGGTCAGGTGGCTGTGTGTGTTCAAGTGAGAAGTGATTTCCTGCCCTGAATTCACACCTTTGTGTGCATTAAATAAACAGATCTAGAGGGGCTAATCAGCATGCAATGATTAAACAGAGCAGCTAGTAAATATCGCCACTGTTGGGCCTGTTTATTTTCGGCGAGGAAAGAAGGACATGATGCTGGAAAAAAAACGGCATGGCACTGCTCCATGCATTTTACACTAAGTCATATAGTGTTGGTTTTTCAGAATCTCGCAACCGGAACTGGGTGTCTTCCACGTAAAATTTAAAACCAAATATATTGTACCTATCATCATATCAAGAATTTAATCTTTCATTTAATGTTTGTTATTGTTGTGATTCATTAAAATAATAAAAAATAAATAAATTGAACACTTTATTTAATATAATTTATACACTGGTATTTTAAAATTTACCGGACACGATAAATGGCACAGTTTCAACTTTTACCGGACATGCGTATAAAAACTACCAGAGATCGCCAGTAATCCGGCATGTTTTGCCAACTCTGATATTTTGATTAAGGCCATCGAGTGCAGATCTGTCCCATCTCTAGCTTTTATATACAACATTTAAACAGTTTTGGTGGTGAATATTATACATTTATTGACTGGGTTCGAGGGCAACGTGCATTTTGAAATGGAATGACCAAATCCCTTGTTCCAAATTTAGTCGGAAAAAGTATATTTTTTGTAACCTTTTTTTTTGTACTTAATTTGTACTTAATTTTGGAATGGGTAGACCTAATAAGAATTAATCAGACAATGGAGGCTGCATGACAATAATATAACACCATTTTTATAAATGATCTTCCATTGCAGAATGATTAAAAAATGTTCAGATTACAATATATAACTTCAGTGTTTCCTTTCGGAGTGTGTAAGACAAACCGTCGTATTGTTTAATAGATAAAAATTGACCAATAGGCTTGCCTTCCACTTTTCCTGCTCTGATACACAGCTGACTCCAGTTGTTGCAACCATTTTTAACAATGTTATATTAGGCGTTGTTTGTAATTAAAATGTTAAAGATGACCTCTTTTATGTATCTACTCAAATAAATGACAAACTCTTTGTTATATTTTAGATTTGAGCTGTGTGTGAGAAAAAATATCAAAATGGCTTCAAACTCAGGTGGGAAAATCCCTCTAACAGCTGACCCTGGAGGCAGCAGTACAGGTATGTTGTATAAGTGCTAGCAAGTAAATAGATTTACATATGATTTTTGAGTACTAGACTAAGTAACTGTTTTGTTAATCCACGATTATCCTATTTCTCTTACATTTAGGCAACATATCTTCATCTATCAGTTTATTTTGTTTTATTTCATACTTCAGTGGATCCTTTACAATGTTGTACTCAGGTAACCAGTAAGGACCTTGGGCCTCTTAGCTATGCTATTTGATGAGGAGTTTATTTTTGGAATGTCTCTTGATATTAATGACATACAGATCAAATTCAACTTCTGTATTGGTGAATTTTTATGAAAGTTATGGCCCTAGACTTTGAAAAATTCTAATAATTCACTGTCGCAGGCAGGCCGAATGGTCGCCTCTTAAAAGGAATACAAAGGACTGTTCTTTGACTATATTACATTTATTGGCTTAGTACAAAATTTAAAACTTCAAGATGGTTTGCTGTTTGGGCTGAATGGCTTCATGGACCGTATGGGATCTACAAAATTATTGTAAATTACATACATTATAACATTTGTATCTAAAATATACTAACTGGATTCATACTCGTGCATATCATAACATTAACTGTATACTTTACATTTTACTGCATACTGCATTTTACTGCATATACTCTAGCATTTTACTGCATACTGCATTTTACTGCATATACTCTAGCATTTTACTGCATACTTCACACAACATACGAAATATTTGCGTACTATACACATGTACTTTACACCATACATTGTAGCTACTACATACTTTTAATATACCTGTATACTATTAGAATAATACTTGAAATGATATCAATGCAAAAATTACTCAATCACATAATTTACATCAAAATTAAGAACTAAGGTCCTTGGCCATTTCAGGAAACTGTATAAGATAAAACCTTTAAATCAATAAAACAAACTTACCTCAGAAGAGATGTGAAAGTCTGGTCAAAACTTTATGAAGAATACTATTGTCAATACTCGAGCAAGTCAAGTGCGTCTGCTCTACTCAATTGCTACACCCAAACTGACTACAAAATCGCACAGGATTTAAACCCGCCAAGTAAATTCTACTGAACAAATAAAATGTTATGGATCACAGTTATGACATTTAAGTTATTATTTACATAGCAAAAAATTGTATGTTAAAATAATTTAATTTTGTTTGTATTCTAGCCTCTGATTGGTTAATATCCAAAAAGGAACACAAATTATTTCTGTATAACCTGGTTTGGTATGGGGACACACCCCCCTGACAACCAACTGAATCGTCTGTATCCATGCAATCCTCTCATTTCCAGTCCTCGGGATTCATGGAAAATTCCAGATTTAATAAATGTACCTTTAATTCAAACAGTAACTTGGATCTTACCACATGTAAACAAACAACATGGCTGCTAGGACTATGTATCAGTTTTTACCTCCCCTCGCTTCCCATCACTTCCGTTACTAGGGTTGTATTATTGAGCGGCAAATTTGAACTAATAAAAAGCAACGAAATTTTACACCCACACTTGTTTAATGATTTTAGAATTAAATTATAAGGAATGACTCTAATTCTTGGCCAAATTATTCGAGTATAACCTGGTTTGGGTCAGTTTACGCTGTTTTATAATCCGCTTCGCGGATTATAAAGCGTAAACTGACCCAAACCAGGTTATACTCGAATAATTTGGCCAAGAATTAGAGTCATTCCTAAAATATATGGAACCATGTTTGGACGTTAATTGTGACATTCACTGTTTTCCAGACTTTTTTGACTATGCTTGTAGGTACCACTAATGATTTATTTTTTTGTACCAATATGTCTGTTGATATGGATGACTTACAAGTCAAGTCTGAGCTTTGAGTTGATTGACCCATTTTAACAAATGTTCTGGCTTTTATAGACTGAAATTTCTAATAATTTACTGCTCTCATGACATTTCCTGTGCTTGTTTATAAAGAGCTAATTTTTAGCTCACCTGAGCCGGGAAAGGCTCTGTCTGTCTGTAAATTTTTCACATTTTTTTACTACTCGTGAACCACCGGGCCAATTTCAACCAAAATTGCCACAAAGTATTCTTGGTTGAAGGGGGTTCAAGATTATTCAGATGAAGAACCATTTACTCTTCCAAGGGGAGATAAATAAGAATAAGTAACAAATTAATATCTTTTTTTTAAGTCTTCTCAGGAAATCTGGACCAGAAAAATTGAAACATGTGAAAGCATCCAATCATGACCCCAGGGGATATGGTTAGGCTATAATGGGCAATCAAAGCTGTACAAATGAATATATAGAAAAATCTTTAAATGTCATCTTCACAAGGACAGCTAATCCATGATAAGTCATATTTATATGGAAGCATCCTCAGGAAGTGTAGATTCATGCAAGTTTAATCAAATCATGACCCCTGGTGGTAGGGAAGGGCCACATTTATTTAATAGGTACTTAAAATTTGAACATAGGATACATAGGAAAAAATCTTCAAGAGTGGCAAAGCCATGATTAGTCATATTAATGTAGAAGCATCCTCAGGTAGTTTAGTCATTTTTTTTTTCAAATTATAACTCCTGGGGGGTAAGATACATCCACAATAGGCATTCAAAGTTTTACATAGGAAAAAATATTGAAAAATCTACTGATGAAGAACAGTAGGGTCATAGTGACTTAAGTGAACATTGTGGCCTATGGGCCTCTTGACAGCTCTACTGGTCAGAGACCAGAAGAGCTTATGGTGTCTGTTGTCCCTCCATCTGTCTGTCTGTCTGTCTGTAGACAATTTTTCAAAATGCTACTCCTCCTACAGTTTAGTCTGAATTCAATGTAACTTGACACACAAGTAGATTACACTAAGCATCCTCAGTTTGTTCAAATTATGACCCCTGGAGGTAGGATGGGGCCACATCTGGGGATCAAAACTTTGTATTGGAATATATAGGAAATATTTTTAAAAAATATAGTCATATTAAAACAGAAGCATCTACAGGTAGTGTAAATTCTAATTTTTTGAAATCATGACCCCTGGGAAACAAAACATTGTATTGTTATCTTATTTAAGATGGACCCCATTGGAAATAAGCTCTCGAGCTTTAATGGGTTATCCTGGTATCAACTAGTCACAGTGGAATTATATTTCTAATAATATGGTTTCCTGAATATTCATTTATAAATCTATTTAAAATTTATGGATTCCCATGCAAATATTGTCTTTCGAATGGTTATGTATGAGGGTGGAAAGTTCATGGACAACTGTCATAACTTTTTTACTTTACGTCATATTATGTCCAAATTTGGTAGAAATGTTTCAACAAAAAATTCAAACGATGTGTATAAAAATTTTTTAAATAGCGTGATTTATTTTAAACTTATTTTGAGTTTAAAAATGTGAAAATCGGATCGCGGCGCAGGTCAAAATTTCGTAATTTACAATCAATACACTAAATAATGTTTGTAGTTACATCCTCTGTCAAATGGCTCAAAAACAGAAAAATCTTTAACGTTCAAATGAAGAACTGTTACATCGTTTCATATTCCAAATTATGACTTAATATTTTGCTTCATTGAAAAGAAATCAATTTTGGAAGATTAGTCCTCATTGAAAAAGGAAAAAAAGATGACGTCATAGAACATTACAGAGCAGCAGTTAACGATACAATTTTGTGTTGTACTCTGGAAAACTGCAGAAAAAAAACTGAAAATGCTGGAGGAAGTAGGAAATATGTCAAAAGTGAGCCATGCATATGTGTGTACATGGGACAGGTGGTATTTGAATGATAGAGACTCTGTATCAGACCAGGAATATCTGTGAAGAAACGGATTATCTGTAAAAATCTGTTCAAAAATTTTTAAAAGTTTGGAAGGTCATGGTGAGAGTTAGGCGCTTCTCAGTTGCTAATTTCAAGTGATTAAGAAATGGTTTTAGTAATTAAGTGCACTGGTATTGGGTCATACTGTGTGAAAGAGGAAGGGCCACTTAGGGCCTTTTTTGGTCCTGTGAATTTCTGAAAAATCAAAACTGCACAGTTTTATAGTCAAGAAGGAAATAAATTTCACTTGAATCCTTGCTGACTAAATATCTAGTGAAAATGACGTAATTTTCTTGCTAATCAATGCATTATGACGTCATGAATTGTGTCATTATTCACATGTCCTGGATATTTCTTCAAAAATGCCCAAAAGATGATGCTATTTTTCAATATTTCATATACAGCACAACCTCCGATCCAAAATGTGCTAATATATAATGAAAGAACTGCTTATGATGATTATAAAACATATTTTTATTTTTAGATCGAGGGGTGTGCTCATATTTGAATTCTTTGCTGAAGGTTCTCAAATACACCTGTTTTCTGCAAAATTCTGGAACATTGCAAATTCACACAACCTGTTTTCCAATACCTGGACTCTATAGAGGGAACTTTGTTTTATATAAACTGAAAGCACCAAGTCTCTACTTTATATTGATGATGAAAATGGGACATAGGGTTTTAGTCAATGGATTGGTATCTCTACAGGACCATTTTATGCATAAAGTGAACATAGCTCTTTATAGGGGGAGTATTTTTGAGAACCTTATGATGCTATGTTTTAGACGTTGCAATGTTGTTGAGTTTGCTCCGTGGTTACCAAACATGTTGATTTTAAAATTAAATAACGACTTCTATTAAATCACATAGAATGAACTTCACAAATCAACAAAATAAATATTTTTACATATAATAATGTGCTCATTTTAAATTTCTTGAAGATAGTATAACAAAGATTGACATGGTCCACAAACTTTCCAAACAACCCTTGTACATGTATAGCTGTGTGTATTTGTTTTATGTATGATGGCATGATACCAAATAAATGATGATGATGATGGGGATAGAGTGATATCAAATTTTTACATAGGAATATAGAATAAGATTATTCCTGACAAAGTGTTAAGATTCAGATCTGTTCAAATCATGACCCCCAAGGGTAGTTTTACATGGGTTTATAGGTAAACCTCAGTATGTTGAACACTTTTATGCAAATACCATGGATATCTTGAAGTGAGTTGATCATCCTGGCTGTTTTTATGATTTTAAAAAATCCAGTGTCTTGAACAAGGAAATCTTGAATACCTGGCTTATCTTAAGTAGATTTATGGTCCCAAGTTAAGTGCTAAAAACACATACCTTATCTCAAAGTCCAATAAATTTCTTGCTTCAGTTGGTTGATTTCACAGATACATGTAAGTACACAATAATCCCATTATTCTAATTTTATGGTCTGTTAGGTATTGCACAGGGTCATGGAACCCATTGCTGATAATCAGTCCTAATTAGCCCCAAGCTGTTGGTTTTTGGTAGCTAAAAATTATGCAGGCCAGGTGATTTGAAAGTGTTAATGAAATGCAGGATGACACGATAATGTTACAGTGGCTTGGGGATGAAAAATAGGAATTTAAATACATGTATGTCAAAACACATTATTATATATCAAAGTAAACACTGAACACATCAAAGTGATATTGAAATCAAGAAATTAAACAAAGACATTATTTTGAGTATATTAGAAAGTATTATCAGCTAGCATCAAAAATCTAAATCTTCAGTTCACATCATGTCTGATAAACACTCTAACGATGTAGTGCGTAGACTTTGTTTCATTTTCAATTCATTGTAAACATGCTTTTTACTGTTGATAAACATTATAAACTGAAGTGCTTTTGTTTTTAGCTCTTCTGAGCCAAAGACTCAAAGAGCTAATGCTATAATGGCCATTTGTGCGGTGTGTGGTGTGTTAGCTGCAATAATGTAGCCCTCTCCCAATTTTTTTTTTGGGGGGGAGAGGGCTACAACTCCTTAGGATCGTCGTAATGGTGCAAGTGCGGGAGTGATTCACTCCCGCACAGATTTCGGTGAAATTGTCAGTAAATGGCTATTTTACTAACATTTCTTACCTAAACTCCAGAAATGTAATTATGCAAAACATAAATTGATCCAAAAATATACAGAGCAATTCATATATCGGTTATTTTTCGTGTATGTCAACATCACAACTTGAATTTTTCCGCCATGTTTACTGACCTTGACCGATCTTATTTTAGGACAGCCAATGAGAATTTGGGAGTGGATCTTTAGGAGTTTCCTTATTTTAAGCATAAATATCGTTGTTTACAAAAAAATATCACATGGAATGGTATTATTTATCAATATTTAGTGATACCTTATAACGCAATCATTTATCAACACCGACATTTGCTTTATCAAGTTATTCTAAAGTTGAAGCACAAGTCTCAGTAAATCATGCGAGAACTGTCATGGCTGCTGAGGAAAATGATTGGTAAACATGCAGATTTATTTTACCTGGTTTTCGTGTTTAAAGGGCTATGTTGTTGACAGTCAATAAAAATTTTGTCTTATTAGAAGTAAGTTAAATGTAAAAACAATTTATTTTGCCTGCAGTCACCTGTATTTAAATATATATTTGCACCATTACGGAGATGCGGTGGAATTGCAGCCTCTCCAGAAAATATCAGTTTAAAAAAAATCGGAGAGGGCTACATTATTGCAGCTGTGTGGTGTGTGTAAACTTTTTAGAATATGGGCCATATCTCAAGAACCCCTTGGCCAATTTTTGTCAAATTTGTCAGAGTATCCTTGGCCCAAGGTTCAGTATTTGCTTTAGTGTTCATACTAAAACTAGGGATGTGACCTTCAAACAAGGGGAGACAATTAAGAAAATAGAAACAAAAGTACTGGTTGCTAATAAATCTTCTCAAGAACCATTGGGCAGATTATCACCAAACTTACACACAAGGGTGAGGATATGTTGTAAATTAAAAATTTTTCAAGGCATTACCCTGGGGCAAAGGGCGTGGTCTCAAGGTCACTTCAATTTGACCAAAAATTAAATTTTGTTAAATCTTTGATATTTTGCTTACTATAGGGACTAGGATCATCAAATCTTGCCAGTTTGTGCATCTTACAACCTCATATCATGCTGACTCAAAAGTAGGTCACAATGACCTATTTTTAGAATTTTGCAGGCATTTGTTTTCAAATTGTTTAAGAGGTATATTTTGGACACTTTAAGACCTATGATCATCAAATTTTGTCATTTGATGCAACTTGGGTCCTCGGTGTATGTCAACTGAAAAATAGGTCACCATGACCTACTTTTTGAATTATCTTTTTCTTTGACTTATCTTTTTCAAAATATTTAAGGTCATTATTTTAGATACTGAGAGGTTTAGAATCATCAAACCCAGTAAGTTGATGCATCTTGGGGCCTTAAAACATATTTTTGAAAAAGTAGGTCACAGTGACCTACGTTTTGAAATTTGCAGGCATTCATTTTCAGATTGTTTTAGAGGCATATTTCGGACACTTTAAGGCTTACGATCTTCAAACTTTGTCAGTTGATGCATTTTGGGTCCTCAAAGTATGTTAACTGAAAAATATGTCACCATGACCTACTTTTGAAATTTTATGGCTATATTTAAATATTTCAGGTACTAATGGGCTTAGAATCATTGAACTTTGTCAGTTGATGCATCTTGGGTCCTCGGAGTACATCAACTGAAAAGTAGGTCACAATGACCTACTTTTGAAATTTTATGGCTATATTTAAATACTTTAGGTATTAAATGGCTTAATTTCATTGAACTTTGTCGGTTGATGCATCTTGAGTCCTCAGAGAACATCAACTGAAAAGTAGGTCACAGTGACCTACTTTGAAATTTTATGGCTATATTTAAATATTTCAGGTACCAATTGGCTTAGACTCATCAAACTTTGTCAGTTGATGTATTTTGAGTCAGAATGGCAACTTAAAAGTAGGTCACAGTGAGTCAGTGACCTAATGGAAGGAATATTTAATACATTTTCCCTCTAAACAATTCAAGCAAGGGGTTTTAGAAAGTGAATGAAAAATGTAAGAGAACAAAAACTTTTCTCCCTCTCTTGAATATCTGGCAAAGTTTATGATACTGTATGTGTACTTAAAAAAGTGGGCTTCATTTTTAGCGGCTTTGGCGCAGACAATGATGCGCTAATTCATGAATACTGCTAAGATATCATTCATAAATACAATATACGGCACGGACATGTATAGCCCTAATGCATGATTTGACCAAAAATCCATACCCAGTGATTGCGCTAAATTTTGAATATGCCAATTTATGTAAACGTACAGTATTTAAAACACACACGACAGTCATTTGTTTTTCATTTACTTCAGACAATAAAAAAAAATGGAAAAAAGCAATTACTTTAATATATCAAATTCAAATTTTGTAGGGATTGGTGTTATATAAAGTTATTTTTTATGAGTCTTGGACTTAGTGATGAGATAATGTTGAACCCTGTGCTCTATATTTAAACCTCATTAATCCGGGTGTGCGTGTTCCTGAGCAAATTGTCCAGATTAATGAAGCATCCTGATCATTACTGAAACATATATATGGTATATATAAATATAAACTGCAGGCATGTAGCACCAGGGGGCCTGGGCACTTTTTTCCAAACATAACTCTTTACTATTGAAAATGTTCATTGAAAGGCCCCCCACTTTTTGTTGCAGTAATGTAGTAAAGGGTAATGTAGTAGTGCATGTATAAAATTTGATATTGAAAGAAGTTCAATTTTTTTTGGGGGGGGGCTCGTCAAGTTTTTTTTTTTTTGCAGATAAGTTGAAATTTTTTTTCTCTCTGGCTCCCCCCCTTTCAAAAATGATGTTACGTCCCTGAATTGTTCCTGACAAATTTTGTCCGGAAGGAAAGCAACTGGATTATTAGCATCTGGATTAATGAGGCTCACAGTATATATTTTTCACAGTTTATATTTTTCATTTGTATAACCTCTGTGCTGTAAATAAAAGACTGAAATATAAATCAGTATGTTTATTTTGTTTATTCTGCAATTTTGCAGAGAATGGTGGTGTCGCTGTTGGTAATGTAGATAATGCATGCAATACTGGTACATTTGAACTCAGTGATAAACATTCTGAATGTGGCCACACTGTTGAGGGTATGGTCCCCCCTACTGGACATGCCCAGAGAGAAGGTGAGATTAATCAGGCATCTGCTTCATATCATGCTGAAGAGGACATCAAAATGGGTAAGAATTTTCCTGAAGCAAATAACCAAGTTCCAGTTAAGGATAAAAAAGTATTGGCAGCAAACAATGATTATACAACTTCCCTAGACAAAGACAACTCATTCAAAGATTCTAACAAAGTTGAATTTCAAATCCCAGCTTGTAAAGCATCTGATAATGTTAAAGAAATGGCAGATGAAAGACAGGGTAATGAAAACAGACAGCTGAACAAAACAGAAGATGATGATACAAGACCTTGTTATGAAGACATCATTGGGCAGGACCTTCTGGAGTTCACACAAGAGTCAGTTAAATTAACTGAAAATTTATCTGATTTCAATGAAATGGACAAAACTGTTAGTCATAGCAAAGAGAGTAATAATGAAGTGAAAACTGATGAACAGACCAAGACAGGGCAAAGCAAGACCATAATTTTTGAAGGTGATGAAGAAAACAGAGGATCCAAACCCTTTGATTCAGAAAAAAACGTGGAAGAAAGTGCTAGTTTTGTTAAAGAAACATCTATTTCTTCAGATAAAATAAGTGCCAAAGTTGAAAAAAAATTAAGTGAATCAAGATTAGAAGAAAATAAGACTAAGTATGGGAAGAAGGTTGATGATCAAGGGAGTAGAGACACTATAGCAAATACTGAAGGTGATGAAATGGGCAGTAGAGACACTAAAGCAAATACTGAAGGTGATGAAATGGGCAGTAGAAACACTAAAACAAATACTGGAGTTGATGAAATGGGCAGTAGAAACACTAAATCATATACTGAAGGTGATGAAATGGGCAGTGGAAACACTGAAGCAAATACTGAAGGTGATGAAATGGGTAGTAGAAACAATAAAGCAAATACTGGAGTTGATGAAATGGGCAGTAGAAACACTGAAGCAAATACTGAAGGTGATGAAATGGGCAGTAGAGACACTGTAGCAAATACTGAAGGTGATGAAATGGGTAGTAGAGACACTAAAGCAAATAGTGAAGGTGATGAAATGGGCAGTAGAAACACTAAGGCAAATAATGGAGTTGATGAAATGGGCAGTAGAAACACTAAAGAAATTACTGAAGTTGATGAAATGGGCAGTGGAAACACTAAGGCAAATACAGAAGGTGATGAAATGGGCAGTGGAAACACTGAAGCAAATACTGAAGGTGATGAAATGGGCAGTAGAGACACTGAAGCAAATACTGAAGGTGATGAAATGGGCAGTACAAACACTAAAGCAAGTACTGAAGGTGATGAAATTGGAAGGCCAGACACAATTATGGATGCAAATGAAGTTTCTACAACAGAATCAGGTACAACTGAGAAAAATCCATCTACAATTTGTAAGATGGGTGAAAAAGAAACCTTGAACCCTAGAGAACATGATAATGTAGATGCAGTGATGAGGGAAAAACAAGATAAAGAAAGTGAACAGTTTAAACATATGGATGTTGAACAGGATGACTTCAAAGAAAAAGACAACACTGATCAGCACCCTTCAAAATCTTCACAGGAAATGGATGATAATGCTAAAAAGTCAACTCATATCAAAGGAAAGTCAGAAAACAACCCTAGTGATGAAAATAAACCCAGAGAAACTGAACAAGAGCTCAAGGAAGGGAATGGAGAGAGCTGTGATGCTGTGGTTGAAAAGGTGTCAATTAATTTTAAACATGGAGATTCTTTGGATAGAGATATGGTCAATACTCATGAATTCAGTAAAAATGTCATTGCATTGACAGGATCTTCTGGAGCTTCAGAAAAAAGAAATGAATTAAATGGTAGCTCATTTCAGGAGGGAGATGGATCTACAGAAGATGATATTGGTGCTGCTAAAAAATTACAATTCAATTTTGTGGCCAAAGAATATGTTGATGTTGGAGAACATGTCCAGGAAAACTCTCCTGTTGTAAAGCAGCCTTCAGGGGTTTCTGGACAGAATCACTCTGATGAAAATATTAAAGTTTCATCCATTGTACCAACTATGAAAATACACTCACTTGAAACTCCATTAAAAGATCTACAAGACAATGGTGTCTTTTATTTGAGCATACAGGATACTAAAAATCCAAGCATTAGAGGGGATTCTATTCTTCAAAACATCCATTCCATTGACCAAAAAAGCAGAGTATACAATACATCAGATTCACAATCTCAGAATTCTGGTGGTGCTAAAGGGAGGAATGTCCAATTGAAAAGAATTAATCCTGAAGAGAAAGTTCTAGACAAAGATAATGTTACACACCAAGCAAGGTCTTTTGGTATCTCATCATGTGAAATGAAGAGCGATGAAAGAAAAATTTCTTTTGATACACCAACAAAGCAAATGGAATTTACTGAAGGAACAAGAGGGAGATACCTTGAATATGAAATGTCAAAAGGAGAAATCCTAGCTGTTGATGCAACACAAAAAGAAGACACCAGTCCCATGAAAGATGAAAGCATGCATACTGGGACAATTCCTAATCATAATCATGAATTTATTAAAGAATTTGAGAACAAGAAGAAGGATTCAGAGAAGAAGTTGTTTCACCAAGAAGCTACATATTTAAAAATTGAGTCTACCTTATCTGGATTAAATGAAGATAGTGAAAGTTCAGATGTGGAAGGTGATAGTCAGTCTGTGAAATGTGGAAATGGAGAGGAGCTTCCTGAGATGAACAGAAATTTGAGCCATCCAGATACAACTTCAGTCCAAGTTCAGAGATCATTAAAAATAACAAATTTTGAAAACCAGCTGGACTTGTTATTTGATGATATTTTGTCTGATGATACAACTTTAAAAGAAAATACAGAAGAATGGAGGAAAAATACGAAAAAGAAACTTTATAGTTTAATGATTAACAATCTTCATGTATTAAGTCAAGAATTGACTTCCTTTGTTGGAGGTGTCTCAAATGATGAGATAGCTTTAGAGAATCAAAATGAAGGTAATTCTTTTTTAACTTTTCTCCCAAGTTTGTTGCATAGGGTTAAAGGGTTGTAAGACTTATAGCCAGTCTGGATAAATTAATCATTTTCATAGACCCTCCAACGGTCAGAATAATGGCATTGAATATATTAAGGAAATAAGGTATCTTTTTAAAACTCTTATACAGGTTGGTCATGTGATCAAATTATAGAAATTAAGGGCTTTATGGCAGATTTGTTGATGTACCAACCAACCCTTATTTATATCTCTGAGTCAGTAAAAGTTTAAAAATGATAAGTTATAATATTTAAAATGCATTTGTTACTGATTTATGACAAATTAATATTTTCATATTATAGTTTTAAACCCATGATATGATTTATTTTAATTTCCAAACCTCAATGGTATAAATTGGATATGTTGAACATGTCAGACCTGACATCACTTTGAATATCATGATGATTAATTATGACTTAACAGTGAATTTATGGTATTTGAAGAACCTGTTTTTATGCCTTGTGTCAAAGAGTTTTATCAGAGGGAAAACATTTGCAAATGTAAAATAATATATATTTATAAAGAAAAATATCTAAAATTTCTCTTCTCAAACACAATAGTTATCCACAATTAGTATTGTTATACTTTCATGTTAAATAATAAAATTTGATTGGTTCATTCAACATTTCATAATATTACCCTTAGTACAAGCAACAGTCACTTCACAATGGGTAAGGTAATAACAACGATAATGTCTTGTGGTTTGCCGTAAAATTCTTAAAATGTCAGTTGTGCATTTAAAAGAAGCCAGATAAACTTGACTTTAATCAAAGCTTGTGTCCGATGTGGCTGAATTGAAAAACAAACTACAGATGAAAATTGCGTACAAGTGAAGAAATAATGAAACTTTAGGTGATTAAGTACCCTCTGAGTATCGAACAAATAATATTTTGTTTATTGTTTAACGTCCCTCTCGAGAATTTTTCACTCATATGGAGATGCCGGTGGAGAGCTACAAATTTTGACCTATACTCGGCACTCAGGGCCATTGAGCAGTGAGGGATCTTTTTCGTGCCAGCACCTACTGCGACACTGGACCTCGGTTTATACTGTCTCATCCGAAGGACCGGTCTCCACGTCCCACAGTGGGATTCAAACCCGCGACGTAAGGATCAACTCCTTACTCCGCGACTCTTGAGCGAACACTCTAACCACTGCGCCATGCGGGCGACTCGAACAAATAATAAAGATGTCGGTAAATCTTTCTCAAATTCAAAAAAAAAAAAAAAAAAAAAAAATCTTGGAATAAAATAAAAGGTATTACAAAACATTTAATGAATGTGTTCTCATACAGGCCAAATGCATTTTTTCAACCCCTCGAACCAAACTGTTTGCCTTGGGTCTAATGGCTTCAGGCAAATAGTTTGGTTCTTGGGTCCAACAAATACATGTATGCATGTTGCCCTTGAACCCAGTCAATAAGTACATGTATATAATTCTTATATGCACTGCAGCATATATCCCAATTTAGCTTTCAAATCATGGCCACTGGAGTTTGGATGGGGCTAATATTCAATATTTGAATAGTTCAATATTAGAATATTATGTACACTGTAAATATATATAGAGAAAAATCTTCAATGTTACAGGCCAGGGCCATACTAAAACAAATTGATATGCAAACATCCTAAGAAGTGAGGATCTTTGGCCAATGGGGTTGAAATGGGGAATTTTATAGGATAATTTTTTTTATAGAACTTGAGTTTTGTAAGGAATGCATATGTTGTCTGCTATTTTATCTTAAAGATGAGGATAAAACTGACATATAGGAAATAGTTTTATGAATATTACAGTGAACATAGAGTCCTCGCCAATTTGAAAAAAAAAAATTATGTTGCTAAAATCAATCAGCACGATATGGGGTATATGTTGAGTGGGTTATATGAAAAGAATTAACAAGATCATGATACTTGGAAAACCATCAAGGTCCAATTGGGCCTTTTGTAAAGACTGCTTATGAAATTTTTTTCTAGTTGATGTGTAGGCATTATTTAAATGCAATGTGATTTTTTAAGCTATACTTTTTTAATGCTGCATTAACATGTACATTCTGATTCAGAACATCAAGGAGCCAAGACATCAAAGGCAGCTCTTGGTCACACAAGTATACCATATGCAGATGAAGAAAATGAGGTAGCAAAATATGAGGAAAATCCTCTTCCAAACTTGACTACAAGTCATGCCAAGCCAAGTTCAGGTAAGATTATTAAAACATAATTTTGTGCTGGATAATAGTAAAGTAGTTTATTTTCACCAGGGATTAATCTAGATTATATTTTGTTGGCATTGGCATGGACAACAATGTACAAATTCCTGAATACTGTTCATAAATTATTCAAAAATAAAATATGTGATGCAGACAATTGTGTAGCACTAATTCATGATTATGCCAATTTTACCAATCAGTATCCAGTGATTGCGCCAAGTTTTTAGTATGTCATTTCAGGGCTCAATATTATAAGCAAACTAGACCAGTCAGATTAGAACCTTGCTCCAAGACCATAAACTTTTAAGTCAATATTTAGATTTTGAACATCTTGACTTTAATCATGTTAATTCAACAAACCTCTGAAAAACCATGTTTGTAAAATATTCAAATATAATTACACTTTCAAAATGTGGTTTTATTTTGAAAATTATACAACTTTGAAATCTTGACTTAAGTTTTGCTCTCAGGTTATGGTCTTGAGGCCTAAAAATTTTACTAGACCTGACCTGACCTCAACTTCACTAGACCTGAACTGATATCCATGTATCATTGAACGACTCAATTGTATTGACATGAAACAAAAACCATAGTCGAATCACAATAACATATCATCAATAAATTGATGGTTATCATAAGTTGGTCATTAATAACCCCTGCAAACAAAAATTAAGGGGCTATATTGGAATTGGCATGTCTGTCTGTCTGTAAATATGATTTTGTCTGGACATGTTCTTGGAGAATACACTGCATAAATCTGTCTGAAAATTCGTACACTGAGTCTCATTATTCACCATATAAAGATGAGCACTTGATATTTTCATCTTGTTTGGTTAGTTTTTCTTCATTTTACAGGTGTTTTTTTTTTTCATTTTTATAGATCTAGTTATCTAGGGTTCATGTAAATTTAGACAAAATTAAGAAACTGTCAGTTGGTACATTTATAGAAAGATGTGAATTAATGCAGCTTAGAGCCAGGTCTTTAAAACTTAAAAAAACACCAAGTATTAAAAAACAAATTAAGGTAGATATTTACCAATATAAGAGATATGCAGTAACATTATTAAAAATGTTGCATCATTAGACTACAGCTGTCAGTTTTAAAGGTCACCTGAGTATCTCAGGTGACCTACTGTAGATTCCTAAATATACGTGTGGAATTAATTATCGCATAATTTCGTGAGAAGCATCACTTGCGAAATAAAATTTCTCGCTTTTATTTTTATGGTGCTGAAATCTATGTAAAATCTCTTGATCAACCGTCCGTTCGCAAATTATTATTCTCGCGATTTGACGTTAAAGAGTCCTTTCATGATAAGTACTCGCAAAAAATAAGGAATCTACAGTATTGCTATCTGTTTTTATCCATCATCATTCATTGTCTGTCATTCTTGAAGTTTTGAACATATACAGCTTCTTCTCATAAACCAATTCCAACCAATTTTGGCTTAGAGCATCTATGGGCAAAGAGGGACAAATATAGTGCATTTCATGGTCTGAACCATCCAGAAATTTTTTTTCTTGGTATAAAGGCTATATGCAACATACATGTACATATACTTTACAATTTACATTTCCCACTAATATTTTTTCAAGGTACTCCTAGTTTAAAAGAGAAAAATTAGATGTTCTTTAACAAAACTTAACATACACTCAAGTGAGCTTTTCTGATCGAAATTTTTCCGTTGTCTGTCGTTGTCGTTGTTGTAAACTTTTTCACAATTTCATCTTCTTCTCCAGAACTACTGGGCCAATTTCAACCACACTTGGCACAAAGTATCCTTGGTGAAGGGGATTCAAATTTGTTAAAATGAAGGGCCACACTCTCCTCCAAGGGGAGATATTTATGAAATAGTGAAAAATTAATGGCATCATTGAAAAATCTTCTCAAGAATCAATGGCCCAGGAAAGATGAAACTTATGTGGAATCATTGTCAGGTACTGTGTAGATTCAAATTTGTTCAAATCATGACACCCATGGGTAGGGTGGGGCAACAATGGAAGATGAAAGTTTTACGTAGGAATATATAAGAAGAATCTTTAAAAATCTTCTTCTCAAGAACAGCAAAGCAATGATTGGTCATATTTATGTGGAAACATCCTCATGTGGTGTAGATTCAAGTTTGTTCAAATCATGACCCTGGGGGGTAGGGTGGGGCAACAATGGACGATCAAAGTTTTACGTAGGAATATATAGGAAAAATCCTTAAAAATCTTCTTCTCAAGAACAGAAAAGCCCTGGTTGGTCATATTTATATGGAAGCATCCTAAGATAGTGTAGGTTCAAGTTTGTTGAAATCATGACCCTCCAGGGGTAGGATGGGGCCACAATGAAAGTTCAAACTTGAAGGAACAAGCTAATTCAGAGAATTTGTGTCGATCTCCCGCTTAGGGAAAAAGAAGAGCATGCCCAGTTCCGGAGGGGGGGGGGGTCTCCCCCCCCCCCTTGATTTGTAGAATTATTAAATGTATACATGTATATTGAAGCAAATAAAAAATGCCAATATGGATATAATTTGATTGATTATTCTTTAATATGTGTATAGAAGATTCTTTTTGTATAGAATATTTATCACACTGTAATCATGAGTTTGTACAAGCCAGACGTCATAACTTTTTCCTTTCACATGCTGAATACTATCATTTATATAGTAAATCAAAAAAAAAATTCCCCCCAAAAAAGGATCGAACGGGATTTGAACCCGGGACCTCTCACATGTTAAGCGAGAGTCATACCCTAGACCACGAAGGCACTTGATTATACAGAAAATTAAATGCAAACATTAGGTCACATATAATGTTTATATTCGCATTCGATATTGTCAAAATTTTACACAATACATGGTGTCTAATTTAGCCTTTACTAAACAGTTCTAATAGATGTAATTAGAATATAAAGTCCACCGACAACCTGTATTATACGTAATAACTCTCCACATGCCCGTGTGCTAAAAATATTGCCAAGGGACGTTTAATACAATAATTAAAAAAAATCACTTTGAGAGGGGCAAGAGAGGCCATAGGGAGTTATGGTATAAAATTTCATTGCAAAAGCTCAAAAGCTTCTTGAGATATTGCCTGGAACACAAAAGTGTTACACACAGATGGAATGTATGAATTTACGACCTTGAACTTTGACCTTTTGACCTCAAAATCAATAGGGGTCTTCCTTAGGCTACAGGGAGTGATTATGTAAAATTTCATTGCAAAACTCAAAGGATTCTCGAGATATTGCACGGAAACAAAAGTGTTAAAACAGACAGAATTTATCAATTTATCGCCTTGACCTTTAACCTTTTGACCTCAAAATCAATAGGGTTCTTCTTTAGGTCATAGGGGGTTGCTATGCAAAATTTCATTGCAAAAGCTCAAAGGGTTCTCAAGATATCGCGGGAAATGAAAGTGTTACAGACAGACAGAAATACAGATGGACGGACAAACGGATGGATGGACGGACAGACCAAAATTAATATACCCCACTTTCAGTGAAAGCGGGGGACTAATAGAATCATTCATTTGATTTTTGAGGTCAAAAGGTCAAATGATTATTTTTCTCACATTATTTTATCCAAAATAACAGCATGCCATCACCATTGAAAAATTTCTATTTTTAATTTAATATCCAATGAAAAATCTTAATACACCATCAAAGAAATCGTACCTGAAAATGGTTTACACAGTATGTGTAAACTCAGAAAATGAATATCAGTCCTCTTAACTCTATTCCCCTTAGACCTTTCCATCCTTTACCCCTTAATGACGACTTTTGACGCCTAGTCTCAAACCCTTAATGACGACTTTTGACGCATGTGTATTTCATTGTTGATTTGACTTGAAATTACCGCTTGTTTACAAATTATCAGAGCACAGGTGGCCACCTGCAGGTTAACAATAGATGATTGCATCATACTACAGTTAGAAATCACGTGATTTACCTGTGTAAACAAACAAAAGAATCTTGGAAAGTCCCACCAAAATTCAAAATGGCGGACTGTTACATACGATGTTTTTAGAGCATATAACTCAGTCAATACGCAATATTTTCTCATCCAGTAAAGCATTACATGAAATTCAAGCTATAAGCTACCTATTTCTTGAAAGTTTTGAAAATTATAATGATCTATGTGTATTATAAACATTAAAATAAGATACGAAAATGTTGTGAAGTTCGGGACCGCGCAGTGCCGATTTCGTTACCTTTTTCTCAGAATTTCAGAAGATACCTTCCATTTTACACATATTTATAAATGTGAAGGTGTAGAAAACAATTATTTTAATATAATTTGATCATTCAAATAAACAAAAACGTTCAGAAATCAAGTTTTATCAGCCAAGTCTGAAAATTTGTCGGCGAGATTGACATTGAAGTAGCACTACAATTTATTGATTTCTGAGGAATTAAACTTATAAAATTGATAATTAATTATAATTTAACCATCAATTATATCATCACACATAATTTTTATTATTTATACAGACAATTTTGGCTTATTAAAGCCGTTTTACATGTTGAAAATATCTATTTTGCGATTTACACCTGCTTTCACCTGAATTATTTATTTACAGAAAATTCCGATCAAAATTATGCCAATAGATTTGAAAAATTTAATTTATTACGAATCCAGTGATATATAATACATAGTATAAATGAAATATTTTGACCCCCATTAGTTCAGTTTTAAACTGCACTCCAATTCATCTAAAACGGTACAAGGGGCAGCCAGGCAAACACTCTAAGGATATGGCCAGTGCGTCAAATCGTGGCATTAAGGGGTAAAGAGTTAAATCATTCTGAATTAAATAAACTGGATTAAAAAAAAACGATAGCATAACATTTTAGAAGAATCCTTCCGCGACCTACAAATAGTGCCATTTAGAAAGTGAAAATACGACAACCTTTTGGATTAAAATAAATTTGATTAAATAAATAAAACAACAACATTTTAAGAATATGTGATTTTTTTTTAGACATTTTTATTTTTAGTATTTTA